GGAGATTGGGCCTCCGACTTCGGGTTCCGTTCCTTTTTTGGCAAAAACCAAGTTTCGGGATGCAGGGGGCCCGGAGCACTAGGACCCATTTCCAGGAAACCCTCCCATCCCGGGTGGACTGGGAGCCCGCTCCAGATTTTCCCCCCCTTCCCACCCATCCCCCTTCCCCATCTTTATTCCTGCTGATACAAGGAGAGCCCCTGGTCGCCCGGCAGCTCTCCCCTGTTCAGTTCTGGAAAGCGGGAAAGCGGTCCACCCAAGGCTGTGAGATCGTCTTCTCTTCTTGCTGGGTTTCTTCTTCCCACAAAGGAGAAGCAAACCCCCTAAGCCCTTGAGTTGATACTAAAGTTCCACCTCCCCCGTTTCATCCTTCTTAGATTTGAGAGATGTCTCAAAGCCAGTAAGTCACACACACACACACACACACACACACACACACACACTTTACAATATTTAGAATAGACCATCTCATTTTTGCACAAGTTCTAATTTTTTATGATTCCTTTGCCCCCCTCCCCAAGATGGGGGGGGGGTGTTGGAAACCCCTAAAGGATTTTCCTCGCAGCTTATAATGTGTTCAGTGAAATCTCCCAAGGATCAGTAACATATGCCAATTATTTTAATAATTTTCCTTAATATTATTAGGGGTTATAAATTTGATTTTAATAGGGTTGATTGCTTCAGGAGTTGGCGCTTGGGCAGTTCGCAAGGCTGCTGGGGAGGGCTAGGCCGGCATCTGTCACCCTCTGGGACACACACACACACACACACACACACACACAGCCCCGGGGCTGGAGTCTTTCCCTCCCCTTTGAATAGGTGTCATGGCCTCCAAAGAGGTCAGGGTTGCCTTTCTCTCCTCCAGCGGCCCTTAGGCCGAGCCTGCCTGGCCCTGCGGCCCAGTGGAGGGCCGAAGGGGAGAGAGATACAGGGTCTCTGCAGCAGCCACCCGTGTTCCTTGTTCTCCGCCAGCAGAGTCCTGCGCACACTGGGGGATCCTTTGGAGGTGTCCCTGCTACTGCCCAAATCTTTTCACCACTGGGTGCGGGGGTGTGCCTGGGCCTCTCAGAGATACAAGGGTACTGAGGAAAATGAAGATGTCTCGATGGGATCTAAAAAGAATTTTCCCCATCCCTTCCCTTCAATCATTAAAACTGCCTTCCTCCTTGGAGCCACTTGTTTGGGAATTTTGATAAACTCTTGCAGAGGAGGGGGAGTGAGGCTGCAAACAGAGAACACTGGTGGTCAGAGTTCTGCCTCACTCCCACCTGGCCCTTTCCGTCTTTTTAAATTTTCTTTCACTGAATTCTTGAAGAGGGTCTCTTTCATTTTGGGCCAACGGCTTTGTGGCTTTCCTAAATTTAAAAGTAGTCAATTTATCACCTTCTTCTCTCGAACATTCTGTTTACCGGCGTGCAGTGGCTGTGCAGATAAGCAGGATTTCTTGAGGAAGCTGTTAAAATTTTCAAGAAAAAAACCCACAAAACACTTTTGGTAGAAATGGTCCCTTAGACTGTAATCATTGGGCCAAGTTCAAAAACAAAGTACTCAGCTCAGTTTTAAATGTGCAATTAAAAATAACTGTACCTCGGCTTTTCAGAGGGAGAGGGAAGGGGGCAGGGAGGAGGGAAAACAAAGAATAAGGAAATATTTAGTGCTCTTAAATCCAGTCCAAATAGCTGAAAGAAAGGCATTCCCCCAGATAATGGAGCCATTAGAAACTCTGAAGGTTCCTGCCGCCCTTCCTCACAGGGGCTTTCCAAAAATTTAATTCACTCTCAGCTATGAAACAAAGGACACAGAAAGGAATTTTGAGACTTTCTGCCAAAGGGGAGCTTGGCCCCGTTTCTATGCATACATACACCTTCCTCTCCAGCCTGTGAGGTGGTGCTCCCATTCATCCGCGCAGCTGATCCATACCCATGTGGACCCTCAGCTGTCTGTTCCCATTTTCTTCAATAACTTCGCTAGGAAAAAACCAGTATGTTCATGCAGTTTCAACACGTTTTATTATATTTCTGTATGCATTACTTTCAAAACATATCACAAGAAAGGATCAAACCACTTAAAACCTTCAAATAAAAAATCTGAAACAGTTTATGCCCACAATTGTACATATTTATAGTTAAGAAACATTCTTTATAAATATTGTTTCCTCTGTAGCAAGTTAATACCATAATTTAATTACAAATGGATAAATATGGTAACGGGTATTTACAGAAGGAAGGGTGTTATTAAGGAAAAAGCTAACGGCACGACGTTTATTTCCCCCCCCACCCCACAATCTTTCATACAGGAACTAACAAATTGAACTCGCAGAAGCACTAAAACATCACAGGTAAACCCAGCTAACAGAAAAATACATTCACAGCGTTGGTGGTGGTGGTGGTGTGTATGTGTGTGCTGTGTGGATCGGTATGCTGAAGAGACAAGAGGGAGACTTTGGCACGGCTCGTTTTTTTCCAGTCTATAGTTGCATGAAGTTTACAATCAAGTTGCCTCATGAAAGGAACACAATATTCAATACCACAATACAAAAGAAACCATTTTCTTCCACGTTACTTAAAAATAAAACCGAGTAAACTAAAAAGAGAAAAGAAAAAGCCCATCACGTTGGGGAAGGGAGGAAGAGGCAGGGAGGAACGCAATCCGGAGCATTACAAATGGACGAACTTCTATACACCAAGAAGCCATTAAAACCACCTCGGAGAAGGAAGGAGTCCGCTATGTACAGTTTGCCAGAGACTGGGAGTGCGGTGAGAAGGCAAGCGGGCGTGAGGGAAGGAGAGGGGGTTTGGTTCGATATTTTTATGGGTTTTTATTTTTTTTTTAATTTTTTTATTCCTTATTTTATATTTTCAGCTTCAGAGACTCCGTTAGGGATATTTTTGCTTTTCATGCCTAGATTATTTTTTTAAAAAAAAAAAACAACAACAAACAACAACTTTGAAAAATCCTCCTGCTGGTAAAATCATTTTTTGTCATCATAAAAATCAGATTCGTAATTTTAGCATCACAATCACAGGATGCCCTGGGTGGTGGAGGGCTGCTGCGCCAGGGCGGGGACTGGGAGAGGGAGAGCGGCCCCCGGCCCTTCACACGTACCATTCATTGAAGTTGGAGGACAGACCACTGTGGCCCCCGGCCGTCCCGCTGCCCCCGCCAGAGCTGCCGCCGCCCCCACCGCCCGCGCCGCCGCCCCCGCTGCTGCCTCCGCCAGAGCCGCGCCGCCCGCGCCGGCGCTGCCCGAGCCTCCGCTCCGTATGCACCGCGGAACCACGGCGCCGCCGCTGCGGC